CCTGGCTATCCTGTTCCCAAGTTAGCGAATTTCGCGTCAGGAACCTTCATTGTGCCGTACGCGGGAACTACGCATGCCTAGGGGCTGAATTTAAAATCTTTGAGTTATGTGTATATAGGGAAATAACCTAAAAATTTCAGCTTTCCATCTTTTCTCGTTCCCGAGCTATTGATTTTTCCGTCAAAAGTTTCACGCGGTCGCACGTGGGGCCCAGACTTGCGCGAAGGTTGGTTCCGTGATCCTGGGGTGGCACTTGGCCGGGAAACCCAGTCGCAAAATTTTGGCCCTGGAACTTGCTTGGTTGCAGAGTTGAAAAATCCGGACAGACGCACACACGCATATATATGTATATACTCACAGACACACGCACACACACAAACATACATACACACAGACAAGGCCATCACAATTATGCTTTTTGCATATATGCAAATTGCAAAAACGCATATTGCGAAGAAGCTGTGTGTATGTATGTGCGTGCGTGTGTGCGTGTCTGTGTGTCCGCACTTTCTGTCACCGACTTTCAACTCGATAACCAGTAAAGCTAAAGAGCTGAAACTATAAGAGTATGCGCCCGTACCATGCGCGACCCACCCACTTTAATTTCATCCCCGCGGGCGCCTGTGTGCCGCGTACGGGCGCTTTAAAAAAAATATGCAAATTTTTTGGTGGTAAAGCGATCTCAGGAACCACATGTGCTGAGGAGCTGAAACTTTGCAGGGATTTTTCCTGCACATGTACTAGCTAATGATTTCAAATTCAGCCCCCAGGTATGCGTGGTACTCACGCAAGGGCGTATGAAAGTTCTAGCGGGAAAATTGCTAACTCGGATACCAGAAAAGCTGGAAGGCTGAAAAATTTTAGGCGAATATTCCTTGCCCAAATACAACTCATATATTTCAAATTCAGCCCCCAGCTATGTGTGGTACTCACGCAAGGGCGTATGAAAGTTTCTGTGGGAAAATTACTAACTTTGGAATCAGAAAAGCTAGAAAATTGAAATTTCTTATGGAGAATGTTTCCTGTCCAATTTAATTATTTCAAATTCAGCCTCGAGGTATTTGTGGTTCTTACGTATAGGCACTTAAAATTTTGATGGAAAAATTTCTCACCGAACAGCTAGGTTACTTTTGAAGAACGACTGTTAAATGGAAATTGTACATTTACTTTACGCAAAATTTCTGGTGATTTATGCTAGTGACGGCAAAGGCAGGTGCAAAGCTACAACCATTCATGCTGTTAATGACATGAGTACTTCAAGTCTGGTGCAAAAACGCATGATCGCAAGGGCCCGCCGCTGCGTTCCAGCCTGGTTTGCAATTTGCATATAAGGAAGAACGCAAAAAGACTGGTAATCATGCATCTGGAGGTCCACGTGGCTCTATAATGCAACATCTTCATCCCAACTGGTGCCCTTTCTCCTGCATGACGGAAGAAGGCGAATCACGACCAATATCAGCCCAGGTGTTAGGCTACAGCGCAGGGATCATTCATGCTATTAGCGACCTACGAGTTTAGCGCAAAAACGCATGATCACAGGGCCAAGCTAGTTGCGTTCCAACCTGGGT